AAAAGGCATCACAACTGAAAACCAAAATAAACAGATAGACAAACAAGTACTTTTATCAACTGCTAGTGAAACAGAGAGTAGCACTTTGTCATTTCTATAGAGTACAACTGATTTCCTTTCTTCACTTCTCAAAATCTCAGTGCCTTGAAGACTAAGATTAGCTTGAAAACTGTGACTCGCCACAAATGACAACGAAACAACCTGAGATTATGTGTCATTTTTAACATCTCTGCAGCACTCTGGAGACTCTGAAATTGCATTTCAGCCCCAAGACACAATCTCTGGAAAGTGGCTATTGCTGATCCACTCACAGAAGGCATGGTTTAAAAATTTTCAGCTTATACACATTTACTATCTGGATTATACTGAACGTAATTGTAATGTTTCTTACATTTAGCCCGTCCATGTGCTACCATTAATTATGGTTAACAATACACTCCACAGATATAACACTCCATAACAGCATGGTCTGGTGATTCCACACACTGCCCAGTCTCAAAAACCCCCATGTTCCTTCCCTCACCACTCCCAACTCAATTACAGCAGCCAGTCATTCGGCAGCATGGAATACCAAGAACTTAACAGACTTTCAAATTAAGATGAACTGAAACATTGTATTTGTGTTTTGCTGCCCTCCTGCCATTCCACATCAGCAGCAAAGTAACTCTTAACTCATGTCAGCGATTGAAACAAAATTCAATGCCAAGAAGCAACTGTGTTAAAAAATAACAAAAACAAAAAAACCAAAACCCCATACACTTCCTTACTCAGGCCTGCTTCCTTTTTGTATCCTGAGTCTTATGTGACCACAGAAAAACAAAAATATTGGCTCTGCAGAGCGCCTGCAGGAAGGCAGGGCTGCTTCCAGCCTGCTCAGCCTCAGCAGCAGCACTGCTGCTCCTCCATCAGCTGCATTGCTGGGAATCCACATCTTCCCTTCTGACACTCAGCCCCAAACCACAGCACCTCTCTCAAGCTCCTTGGGCCCTCAGACTCCACTACAGATAAAACCATTTTGCACACTGCAGCTGCAAATCTGTCAGGGTTTATCACCAGCCTCCAAATCATGTGCCAAAAAACATCAGCCCCTGGAACTACCCAAAGACAATGGCCTCTCTTTGCCTAGGCCACTGAAAACTGGCAAGCCCAGGAGAAGGCTAATCCACATCACCAAAAACTAAAGAAGACAAAAGCCCCAGTCAGGTGCCTCTTGGTTATCAGAACACCATTGCTGACCTCACTAAAGCTTCAGAAGGATGAGGACTCTCAGAGCATGGCTGAATGAGAAGGATTAGGAACAATTCCTCTTCATCCTGACAACTGTCAGAGTCTCACAGCCTCCTCCAGAGCTCAGGAAGAACTGTGTGACCCAAACACTTCAAAAATGGCAACCCCTTCAGCTGCCCTCATATCTCTCTTTCCCCGTTTACTCAACAGAAAAATGACCCTGCATTGAAAATTGGAACATAGACAATGCACTAAGAGGCTTCTATGGAAGAAACACTTCCCATCAAAGATTATGAAACTAACAGCAGAAGTCTTTGGAAAAAATATTTCACTTCCCCCAAACTTAGAGTTTAGTTCTTGCTGAACAGACAGGCACAGACCAGCACAGAGCTGCTGAGCATCAGGGGTGAGGGACCAGCCCCAGCCAGCACCCCAGAGCCCACACAGGAAAATCCTGCAGGGAATGGGAGCAGGCACAGAACTCACACAGTGCCATGGCCCAGCACATCCCAGGGACACCTTCAGCCTCCTCACTTCCTCCCAGATGACACTGGCAGTTACATGACACCAAACACTGCTCTGCTCTCTGAGGGTCCTCAATGACCAGCAGCTCTGGAAACCCTCAGAAATGCTGGGCTATATTTGGAGAGCAACTGCTGATGCCCTGCACACCCATTTTCATCCCTGGCCCCAAGAGCACACAGGAGGATGGACAGATCTTGCCAGAATAGTGCATGGGATGTTCAGAAAGTTCTCTTTCCCAAATGCATTCAGTGGAGACGGTGCAGAGACTGGACACAGCCTGACCTTCAGCTCCTCGGCACTGAGAAGACAAAGGCAGGGAAGAGTGAATACTCCCAATTCCCAACCACCAGCAAATGCAGTTTCCAACTACTTCCAGTTCTTCCTTCTGTCAAGTAGGACTGTGCTACCACCTGCCATGGCATTATTCTGAATCACCTCTTACATGGGATTGTTCTTCAGATTCCAGCACACGGAAACCAGGAATTACCTGAAAAACTCACCTGTAATTTCAAGAGATAATGAAGCCTAAGCCTCATGAATTCTGGTTACCATTGGATTTTTTTTTTTCCCATCTAATTCACACTTTGCAAAGGTTGAAGTTGCCAGTTCTGGCATATTTATGTCCTACTACTTCATAAGCTGTCAAAAAAAATCTGCTGGCATTTAGTCAGCTATTCTACACAAATCTTTATAATATTTCTACTCAGCTCTAGCATTGTTATGTGTACAATTCATACCTTTCCATTTCATTTTAAAAGACCCTGAACTAGAACTGGAATAATTCAGTATGAATAATATTCTCCTTCAATAAATCTGTTAAACATGGTTTTCTAAATCTAATGATGAATCCTCAAAATTTTATTTTCATTTTATAGAGTTGCATATATTAAAATATGAATCATCTTCACGGTCAACAAAGCAATTTAGTAATCCTGAATATAAGTTATTTAGCCTGAAATAAGCTTTTCTTTGATTATGTGCAAATTACTATGTGTGGTTTCTGAATGTATGGAAGAATCTAACACCTCAGGAGAATAAAAACATGCTGTAATGATATGAGTAAAGTATATGGATAACAGAGACTACTTTATAACTTAAATATTTATAATCATAAGCTTATACTTCACAAACTGCAAAATTATTCCAGAATTCCATTTGTTCATTCTGTCTGTTGTAGCATTTTATAGATCAGAGGACAGAGTATACAAAAGTTAAAAAGTGAGTATGAGCCTCACTTCTCATGGCCAGAGCTGCAGAAGCAGTGCTCCATTGCAGCTGCCCTCCTCCTGAGAAAACTCCTTTGCTGTGGGTGCAAGGCCAGCACCAGGGAGATGCCACCAGGCACAAAACACCTGAGGGTCTGCAGGAGGATTCCAAACACACTGAGCCTTTGGGCTGGGTGAAAATCCTCCACAGCAGTGACAGAGCTGCCTGCTGAGTGTGGAATGTGCATTCTGCATCTGGCCAGCCTGGCTGTCACCACCAGCTCCTTCAACAGCAGCTGCCACCACCACGATCCCACCAAGAGCTGCTCCATCCCCAGCACAACCCCCGCTGCCCACACTGCTGTCAGAACAAAGTTTAACCATTTCTTTCACCTCAGCTGGGGTCCCACACAGCCCCTCACTCCTCCAGGGCAGGATTCATGAGCACAAAGCTCCCCCCAGCCCTCTGAGACCCCTTCTCCCAGTGCCTTCCTCAGATGTTCCAGCCAGCCCCAGTGCAGAACGAGCAGGGACTGAAACCACCCCACCCCCAGAGCTGTCAGAGCCTGCTCTCTGGCATGCCTGGTGAAAAGCAGCCTTTGGGTGCAATTTTAAATTGCCACTGTCAATATTTCTTGCACATTTTGGCAACTAACATTCTAATGAGCTACATGATGGCTCAAAACATTTTCTTTTGCAGCAGAGAAGCAAACTATGTTGCTCCTTCCTGCCTCTGCCATGATTAAGCAGCTGATTCATACTCAGCATTCATAAAAGATTACTAGATTGAAGCTTTTCTTTCCCAATATAAAATAAATCCAGATAGAAAAAGAAAATCAACTATTTCACAGAACATTCAGGATGTTTGGGATCTTTTCACAGGTAAAAATCAACAGCACCTCTAAACCTCTCTTGGCTTCTAATCTGTCCATGTGAACCCCTGAGCATGTATTTTTGATTCAGTGGCATTAAAAGCAGTATATCTGGATGACAATCTCAGAAACAACAAAGACTTCACCACCACAAAGAGTTACAGAAGATCCTGCTTCTGATATAAAAATAATAATAATTTTAAAAATGGTAGCATGGAAAAGAGACACTCCCCATGATTGCTCCTGTAAAGCTTCTTCCAGAACATACAGATTCAAAGGGAAAGTAAAATGTGATTACAGCAGATCATATCCACACCAGAGGATGGACACCAAAGTGCAGCATGCATTCAGTGCCCTGGGGAAAGGAGAACAGCTCTGCATTGCTGCTCCAGGACCCACAGAGGGAAAAAAGCACAAAGAGCCTGCACACACACAGGACTTGCCAAGCAGGGCCAGCAGTGGGACCTGGGGGAGAAGCAGCACCAGACAGATTTATCCCAGCACCTCTGCTCTTCTGAGGCACCTCCAAGGGCTCAGCATGGCCTTCTCCTTCCTCTGCCTTCCTTCTCTAAATGGGAACCTGGTTCTCTATTTAATCACAGCTATTTCCTCTTCTTAAATCACTTTTAGGGAAAGCTTCACAGTGAAAGAACACTTTCCTAGGCTTGTTGTTGTAACTAAAGTAAGCTGTGCATGGTGCACAGAGTGCTGTGCTGTTTGTGGGTTCTGCTTTGACACCACAGGGACAAAGCAATGTGACAGTAATGACAGAAATCAAAGATTTCATTGCCTCCTGCAGAGCAGGGCTAATTGACACCTTGCTGGCTAAGTTTTGAACTTCACCCAACCCAGGCCAAATTTAGCCATCATTGGTGTAAATTTCTGCCAGACACCTTTTAAATAATTGTGAAAAAGAGAAAATAAGAACAGAGCAGACGGAAGTCAGTACAAAAGATGCTTATGTGACCTGTGGCAGCCAAGAGACATGAAAACAGGACAGAGGGAAAGGCCATGGAATTTCACAGGTAGTACATTTTGCTTATGCAGAAAAGAGAGCAAGACAAACCAGGCTGTTACTGGAATTGTCCACTTTCTTAAATGGTGCTCACTTCTGCTTTAGGTAATAGAGCTTTATCAAGAGCAGCATCCTAAATTAAAGGGGGATCCAAACCTTGTAGACTTGTCCATATGTCCCATTTCCAACAACCTGCACCAGCTCAAATATTCCCGCAGGGTCCTGCAAAAAGCAGAAGAAATAACATTATTTGGATTAGAGCAACCACTTCATAGCAGAAACTAATTGTACACCACCAAAATGAAATATCTGAGGCCCATCTCCTAATATGTTACACACTAAAGGGGAAATTGCCAAATCATGGGGTAAGAAATGCACTAATATTTATGTTTTCAGTCAAGTTTCACAAAATTCTGTATACAAAACAACTTGGTGAAGATTGGCAGGATGGTTCCACAGCAAATACCACAAATAAATGAAGGTGTGTGAAAAATACTAGAAACTCCAGGTTCCTGAGCCTTACCACACTGAGCTAACCTGGAGGCTGAGCTGCTGTGAAACACTTGGTATGAGCAATGCAACAAAGGAAAAACCTAAAGAGCAGAATTGAAAAAATTACACTATAAAGGACCTGAGCCCAGTTACCTTAGTGAAGGGAAATGTACCAAACCAGGCAACCTTAACTCACAGGCAGGCTGAGAACACTCAACTCTCCTGCTCTGCAAACGCAACAAAGTGAATTTGACCGAGGCATTGAACTCTTGGCTTTGAACCCAAACTAGATTGCTGTTAATTTACATAAGAGATTAATGAATCAGGTGATCAGTCCACCATTCCACATGAACCATCATCTACCCCTGTGCTACAGCACAGCTGCTGTGACACCAACACTGCAGCAGGGCTGCAACCCCTCAGGGACAGGGAAGCCTCTTGCTGCAAGGCATGGGCAGTGCTCATTCCTGAACCACTGAGTACATCAAAAAATCTGGTGTTCAGTTAAAACTCACTTGAGGGATTTATTTAAAACCATTAAGAACTCAAGAGATCATTTCTTGGTTTCTGGCTAAGCCATTTATCACTCAGCTCATTTCTTGCCATGGTATCACTGAGAGTGATATATGCTATATAAAATATTATTAACTCCATGTGTCAGTTTTACCACATCTGTTTCAGCAATCCATCATGTCAGTTACTGCCTGTTGGTACTGCTGAGGGATGTGATACAGAAAAACATTATCTCAGAAGTACAATTGCTGTGCCCCTGGTTGCAAAACATCCTTTTATTTAGAAGTATCAAACTATTCTCCACTCCACTTATATGTTAATCTTTTAACATAAGCAATTCTTTCTTCATATTGGATACAGAAATGTTTACCTTGGCAAAATCCCAGTGGAACCACACAGGCTTTATTTCTGAGCAGATTCCACCTTTATTGGCACAATTGTCATGGTAAATGCCAAGAGCTTTCAGAGCAACACAGCCCAGACTTCCATAACTGAAAGCCTTAATGAGTTCATTTGGTTTTAAGTTAAATGAGTTTTAATCTTAAACTTCTTGGACTGTCAATCTTACAAGACTTTTTCTTTTCTTAAAAAAAGCAATGCACAAATCAGATCAAGATGAGTTCTGACCCATGCAGGTCAGTCTGTGTCTTTTTATTACCTGTCACTTATTTTAAAACAAGGCAGTAAGCCCTCTAGACTTAAACCCCAATTCCAAAAGCCCTCACTGAAAAGGAAATCAATGGGAACACTCACACATGGATTTAAGGACAGGCATAAGAATGCCTACAAGACTGGATTTCACTGCAGTTTTCTTTGCTTTCTTCTCATTTCATGTTTTGACTAGTCTGGATATAAAGAAATGCTTTACTTCAGTGGGGCTGAAGGCAGCAAATAAACCATTGCTACTGCTAAAGCAACTGGTGGGTGGCACAAAACCCCTGCACAGAGCTGTGCTGTGGGCATGGTCCAGGCAGTGAAACTCACAGCAGCTCTCTAAGGAACCCTCCCAGTAAGGGCTTCCATGCACAGAATCTACTGCGCTCCATGGAAGCATGAGCAGCACCCTAATTCACACCTGTCCTGCAGAAAGCAGCTTTGCTGAATTAACAAGTGCCCACAGTGCACAGAAACCCAGGGGAACCCAAACTGCATTTTCAACTTGGACTTTCCAACTGCCTCTCTCACTTAACTGTGTGCTGTCTTCACTCTTCTCTAAGCTTATTTATTATGCAACTATAGTAATTTAAGTGCCTCAAAATTAGCTTCTCTTTCCTCTTTCAATATATTTAGTTCTGATTCAGCACACTAATAGTTTGCTTCTAAAGGATTCTGACACTCCAGGAAAGACCCTAACAATTACCTAAATAAACATTAGCTTTTAAGTTAATACAGTGCAAATCCCATCCTGCCCTTGCTAGCAAATTGAGCATTAGCACCTCAAGCCCTCACAGGTCTGAGTGCAGCCAAATACTTGGCCATCTCTCTTCTTTAATCAGGACACCACAGTGAACCAAGCCTTGTGAAGAGTCATAAAGGATATTAATCTGGGCTCTGCTCCTTGGACTGCCTTTGTTTGCTTGGATATCAGCACTGCATTTTTTGCTGGCATTGCTCACAACAGGCCACCTTCCTAATTGTCTTGGAGCCACATATCATTGTTGATGTAGTGCTTCCTCCCAGCTACCACCTAAGCCCACGGTCCAGCTAACCCTTCACCAGCCCAGCTGCTGGATTCCCTTCGAAAGATGCCAAAATTCTGACCTGAACATTCATCACTCTGAGGTTAATTGCCATCACACATTGTACATATGGTGACCACCTTGATTTCCCTCCAGTCCCCTGCAGCACACTCGGAAAGCAGAGCAAGGCTGCTGGCCAGAGGCACCCAGGCCACATCCAGCTCCTCTGCAAGGCAGAATGAAGAGCAGCACGACCAAAATGCACTTTCCACATCCCTGCAGCTAAAGAAGATCCAGGTGTCTGAAGTACAAGTTCTTCCACAGGGCCTCTGGAGCTCAGCAGAGAGTTCAGGGATGTTTAGCCTCTGACTACCCAGGTGAACCCAGCAGGGTTAGGAATCCACAGACCCCTTTCTTTCCAGGGAAAGGGAGAGCCTTGGTGAGCATCCATTTGGAGGGGAGCAAGGCAATCTCAGATTGAAAATGACCCCACTCACACTGTGGGAGGCTGGAGCACAGCACCAGGCAGCTCCCACTGGCCCCACGAACACCTCAGACACAGCAAAGGCAAGGCACCTGTCTTCAAATCATTTCCACAGCTCAGCCTCACCTGCCTCCCATTTCCTACTTAGCACAAACCCCAAACTAAGGCTGCTGCTGTGCTCCAAGGGGTTTCTCCCAAAATAAGATATGCATCCCTTCTCCTGTGCAGGCTGAAATTCACAGTGCTCTCAGCTTTGGAGGCTGTGAATCAGATGGCTCTGTCACAAAGCCTGCTGTCTGCTTTGCAGAATCACTCCTTTTCAAACTCACACTATTTCCTTATTTGTTTAAGAAGATGAGATTCATCTGCTAAAGCCCTAAAGAAGAACTTCCATTATTTTGCCTTACACCTCATAGCAGAGCCAGACTAAACTTCTGCTTGCTTAGCCAGGAGCCTTTTGCCATCCTTCCTAACCTTACTGTCCCTGCTGCTTTTCCTCTTTCTGCCTCCAGTCTGGAACACCCTCCTCGCCATGTGAGCATCGCACAGGCTGCTCCCAGCCCTCTTTCTTTTTTCCCTGATATTTTTAGCAAGTGGCTTGCTTTGGTTTCACTGTCTGGGGATGACTGCTTCTTGCCACAACTGAACTCTTCCCTCCTCTTCTGTCGAGAGCACTCCACAGCAGCCCTGCCTGGGTCGGACGGGTGCTCAGTGCTCAGCTCCAGTGTAAAAAGGGCAAGTGGAACTCGGGCCATCACACACAGCCCTGCCGCTGCTCTGCGGATGTGAAACACTGACAGCACGGCTTTTAACGTGGCCAAAGTTTGGCTTACATTAAAAACATAAGAGGATAACAATAAAAATTCACAAAACTACGTAAATGCTGACTGTTTTAGCTTGGGGAAAGGAGGGGGGCATAAAACATCTCAAACTTCAATAACAACAAAAAGGCCACAAAAGCCAAACAGCCACGCATCCAGAAGCTCCTCGTTTCCCATTTGTTTTGTATTCACAGCACTCACAACATCTTTAGGGATGTCGGTAGGAATTATTCCCTATCCTGGCAGGGAAGGAGCTCCGCGGTGCAGCGCTCCGAGCCGGGCAGAGCAGCGGGACCCCGCTCCGGACAGGGCAGCGGCACCGGGAGAGCCCCGGACAGCGGCACCGGGAGAGCCTGGGGCTGCACCCCGAGCCCCCGGGCATCTCGGTGCGTGTGCGGGCACGGAGCACCGCCCGCCGTCCCCGCTATCGCCGCCGCGGATGCGCCGCGGTCCCGGCAGCCGCCCCGCCGGGCTCGGCACACGGAGCCGCTCCGGGCAGCGCATAACGGGGCTGAGGCTCGCACACGCCGCGGAGCGAGCAGCGGGACCGGCAGCCCCGAGCCCGGGGCAGGCTCCCCCGGCGCAGTCCTTACCCGCAGCGCCGCCAGGTCGATGCCGTCCAGGCTGCGGGCCATGGCTCCGTTAGCGCTGCCGCGGGCGGCCCGCGCAGCGAGCCGGGCATGCCCGGCCGGCCCAGCGCCCTCCCGGCCCGGGCGCCGCCGCCGCCGGCAACTTTAGCCGAGGCAGCAGCTCGGGGAAAAGTTTGCGAGGAAGTGACGTGCGAGCCGGGGGGTCGGGGCCACCTGCGCCGGCGGGCGGGGGCGGCCGCGCTCGGCACCCGGGGCGCGCTCCCCGCGGGCGGGAGCCGGGATCGCCCCGGCGGGCTGGGACCGGGCCGGGGAGTTCCCCGCACGCACCGCCCCGGGAAGGGCCGGGCCGGCAGCGGGGACCCGCCGGCGCTGCGCTCCCGGCGCACGGGGCGATGCACCAGCCGCTAACCAAACCCAAAAGCCCCAAAACTGCAGTGACAGCGTCCAAAGATGAGGATTTATAAACACACGGCTGAGCCACCGCCAGCCCCTTCACCTCGGGTGACGGGCGCTGCGAACACGAGCCCAGGGAGGTGACGGCAGCGATGCTCACAGGGATACTGCCAGGATGCTCGCAGGGATGCTCGCAGGGATGCTCCCAGTGATGCTCGCAGGGATGCTCGCAGGGACGCTCCCGCTCTCGGCTCATCCCGCGGCCCCACGCGAACAGGGCACGGGCCGTGCCCGCGGTGCGGAGCCCGCAGCAGCCCTCGGGCAGCCCGGCCCGCAGGCACATCGCATCCCCCGCAGCCCCTCGGAGCCGCCTGTCCCCGGGAACTGGGACCGCAGGGAGAACACGCAGTAGTGTAGCAGGCTGGAAGGACTTGCGGGTATTCTTGGGCCTCGTGTTATAGAGACAAGTCTCAGTGGAAACGCACATTTCTGAGATAAAGTCCTTAAACACTCTCAAGGGATGTTCCGGACGCTGTCCCCTCGCACAGAGCAGGCAAAGGGGCCGAAATTCTCAATCAGTACTTCCACAGTTGCAGACATAAAATCAAGACAAAGTGTTTGAAGTGCCTTTGGTGCCTATTAGCACACCGGGAGGGCTGCAATGCCAGCAGCGAGGGGCAGTGTTGTAATAAAGACGTTTGGCAATTTCCTTGAAAGAAGTGCTGATGCTTCACTCAGCTTCAGAGTATTCTTGTACAACAGTCCGCGTTGGGTACATTATCGCTAATGTGACCCTGAGTTTGAGCTCTCTGCCTGCCTTCGGGCCAGCATTTGGAGGCTCTGCTAAAGAGTTGAGGCAAATAACTGCATTAAAGTGTAAGTTTGTAAGAACTAAACATGCAATGCAGCAGAAATCCACACACAGCCACAGCCCAGCCCCCTGCTCTCCCCTGGACAGCATTTAGAAAATCCTGGCTCTCATGTCACCTTTGTCAAAGCTAAGCCAGAGCTTTGCTCCCCATTTGAGCCTTCCTGCCTTACATAAATACATCATTAGCCTTTCTGTTTGTGTTATTTCTCACAATCCCTATTTATCTCTTCTCTCTAACCTTCAGGCTGTCCTTTGTCTCCTGCCACTTTCCACTTCCTTCCTGCCTCCCAGTGAGAACGGGTGTGAAACTCCCGACTGCTCTCTACCCAATGCCCTCTCTCCCTCTCCATCTCAGGACCTTGGCTGAAATTATTCCTGCCTGCCTTGCCCACCTCTGATAAGTGCTCAACTTGAGGATCAGTTTCCACTTGACAAAGCTCTACCCCAAAATGAGAAGTATTAAAGTGTTTAGAAGTATCACATGGCCTGTAGTATTTTACAGGCAGGTCTCACTGTCCCTGCTTTGTGCTTGTACCAGCACTGCCTTCCCCTGCACCCTGCTGGGAGTTCCTGTGGGTGCTCCAGCCCCCTCGCAACCCTGCAGGCTGAGCAGTTCTCCCCTTGCTGCTGAGGAAGGCAGAGCATCATTCCCCATCAAGGCCTTGCAGGTCCAGCAGAAGCCACAGCTGCTTCTGTCACTGACACTCACAGCAGATTGGGTGAGGCTGCAAATGCCACCAGGACAAGGGTACTTTACATGGTAGAACCAGATTTACAAGGCCTGATTTCCTCACCAGCCTGCTGACTGGTTCTACAGACACAGAAATGTGCTCCAGGTGTCCCCCCCGGCCTCGTGCCCTGCTCCTGGCACATCCTCCCCACAGCCCTGACCAAACCAAGGGGGTTTGTGCTGCTGTGACCTGTGGGCAGCCTCCCCACCTTGTCCTTCTGCAGGAAGCTCTGTGGCAGAGAAACTCCCAGGAATCAGAATGTCCATGCATTAGTGCAATTGTTAATAAACCCACATTCACCTTCCCAGTAATAAAAAATGAACAGGTTCCCTTAACAATAAATTCAATTTTAAAAATTGAACAACCAAAGCATAGCAAACATAAGAGACAATTAAATGCTATCTGTACAACTTTCCTCTCCAACAGCCATATTCAAAACCCTGAAGCCAAATTCAGCAACCAGAGACCCAAACACAAAATCCTTTAAAACATCTCTGTGCCTGCAAAGGATGTTTTGTATTAAAAGGGAAGTGCAAGAATGAAGGGGAAAGAACTTCCTTTGTTTCAGCAAAGGAAATGCCATTGTACCCCAGAAGTGCTGGGCTAATTCTGAGCTCTTCTGTCATCATCCTAATACAGATTTGGGTCCACAATAATCCTACCAAGATTAATTGCCCCTGCCAGATGTGACACTCAGTAAAGGAAGAGAGTGTTTAAAGCTGAGGCTCAAATTGACGTGCTGGCTTGTTTCCTCCAGCTTTGTTTACATTGGGTCTTAGCTACAGGTGTGAAACTGGCAGAGAAATAAACAAGATAACTCATAAGATAACAAGATTTCTGGTCCACAGGAAATAAACAGCTTCTTAAACTGGGGGCTTGGCCTGAGAAAGACAAACTGACTCTTTGCAGCATTTCTCTGTTCTCTGAACTGTAAATTCAGCAAAATTATCATTCAGAAGAAGTCCAACACACATGAAAATGTTATTGAAATACTCAACCAGATGGTGCTCAGGGAATGGACATCCCTGCCTCTCCCTTTGCTGTGGGGACAGCCGGGCTCAGCAGCTCATGCCACATCTGTGACTCCAGAGCGAGCCCCCTGCATACATTTCCCAGCATTTTCAGGATACAAATCCAACATGAAGCTCAGAAATCCCAAAGCTCAAGTCAGGCTCCCTGCTACAGGCATAGGAGACAAATCCCTCCTCAAGCCTCTGGGTTCCCCTGCTCCCAGCTCCTGGTGCAGAGCCATGCCCGTGTGCCAGCCTTGCCCAGGGCTGCAGCAGCTCCCAGCACGTGCCCCAGGGTCAGACAGCATCTCCAGGATCTCCAGCCTTCCCTGGCACTGGAACACTCCCTGGGAGATGATTTTGCTGGAAGGTTTTTACCTTCTGTAAGGAACCTCTGTTATGCCCATGCCTGAGGCACTGATCAGATTGATGCTGACTCCAACACCAGCACTTTTCTCCCAGAATAAAAATACTTCACAAGATTCTCCATTACTTTTGGCTTTTATATAAACTAGAGATTTTAGACATCTCCTTAGTGCCTCTTTAGGGGACAACTCCTGTCTGGCTAAGGTTGCACATTAAAACTCTTCAAAGCCCTGTGTGCCGCCTGGATGTGTCTGGGTGCTAGCTTGGCAGCAGTCACACCAGGAGCACAATTTCATGGCCACAGAAAAGCAGAGAACACTTTTATCAGGCCACACCTTGGAGAATAACAGGATAACTTAGTGCAGCTGCTGCAAAATGTTTTTGGACTGTGAAGGGAAGGTTTGAGTTTCAGGCCATGGACAGCCACTTACATTCCAATTTAGTTAAAAGAGGCAAAAAATATGAACTACCAACACAATCCAATTCATATCTTCAGCATTCTTGGGACCCATCCCTACAGTGCCTGGAAATCACAGTAAAGTGTCATTGTTTTCAGCGCATTGTTGGATTGTACTCTGAATATTTCTCGTGCTTTCTCCTATTTGAACTGAAGAAAATTCCCACTTCATTCCAAACGCTGTAAGGCTGGGCCAGAAAATAATATTTAAACCTGGATCTGTCTTCAGATTTCCACTTTGCAGAGACTGCTGCATTAGGATCAAGAGACAGGGTTGCTATCCTGAGTAAACTGGAAATGCCAGAGCTCCAGACAAACAAACCAAAGCAGTAATTTCCCGTACAGTACTCAGAAGCACATACAGTAGTTTTCAGCTCTTTAAAAATTAAATAATTTTTTTCTGTTCCTGGCAAACATGCTAGTTCAGTTGCACAGGATATCCAAAATGAGACCAAGCAGTTTCCTTCCCAAAGGATTCCTGAGTGGACAGGCAAGCTGGAAAAAGTGCCTCTGACTGCTGTAACCCCAGCCAGGATGTCCGCCTCATTTCCCAGGGCTAAAACTTAATGTATGGGTGTCCCACAAAACATACACTGCTCCAAATGCCGCTCACTGGGGCTTTTTCAGGAGTTTATTTTCTTTCATGGTGCCCAGAGCAGGGACCTGTGCCAGGCTGCACACACACACAGCTGGGGGAGCTCCCTCCTCTCCCTGCACGCCGATAACCCTGACCCAGCATTTCACAGCATTGTTTCAGCTCAGCCCTTCGGGCTTTCTCAAGGAAACAAAAGCTGCCCTGGGGGTTTCCAGCTTCCCTGCAGCCCAGCACACAGCCCTGCTCCCCCTGGAATCAGCCACACCAGCCCCTCCAGGGAGAGCAGCCCTGTCCTCTGCAAGGATGGAGCTTTGCATTCCTGGCTCTGCACTCTGTTCCAGCACCAGCTGGATCCTCAGCAGTGATTTTGGCCATAATAAATTAATTAAATAGATAACTGCTTCCCGGTGTCAAAGCTGTTTCTATTATTTTGTCTCTCCATTAGAATTTTTCCTACTCTGATTTTCTTTCCTTTCCTGTGTCACTGAGTGTTTCACTGTGGCTCTGCCTTACATCAGAATACCAAGTCAGTATCTCCCTGCTGCAATGATATCAATGCACAAAGGCTGGCTGGCAATTTTGCAAAATAAAGATAATTTATTGAAATAAATTGAACTCTCAAGTTTTG